TATTGAGTGCATAACTGAACATGATTATTTGAAGGTTGGCGTTTTTTGTATTAAAAACACTTGTCTTTCATTGGTGGGATGAAATATGCTAATTTTTTGGGACAGGCATTTTGGGTTTTCATGAGCTGTATGCCATAATCATCAGTATTAAAACAATTAAAGACCTGAAATATTTCAGTTGGTGTGCAATGAATCTGAAATATATGAAAGTTTCATTTTTATCATTACATTATGGAAAATAATGACCTTTATCACAATATGCTAATTTTTTGAGAAGGACCTGTATTTCCATATAATGTTCTCTCCTCATGATGTCATCTATTTTGTGAAGTGCACCAGTCCCTCCTGCAGCAAAACAACCCCACAACATAATGCTGCCACCTCCGTGTTTCACAGTCAGGATGGTGTCCTCAGGCATTTTCCTCCAAACGTAGCGATGGTTATTATGGACAAACAGTTCAGTTTTAGTTTCATCAGACACAGAACATGTCTCCATAAATGAAGGGCTTTGTCCCGTGTGCATTTGCAAACATTAATCTTTTTTTATGTTTCTTTTGAAGTAATGTCTTCTTCCTGGCAGAGAGGCCTTTCAGCCCATGTCGATCCAGTTTCACTGTGGACAATGACTCTTACCAGCTTCAGCCAGCATCTTCACCAGCTCTGTTCTTTTGTTCTTGGGTTGATCTGCACATTTTGGACCAAAGCATGTTCATCTCTGGGACACAGAACCTGTCTCCTTCCTGAGCCGTATGATGGCTGGGCATTCCCATCTTGTTTGTACTTGATTATAATTGTACAGATGAACGAGGCACCTTCAGGCATCTGGACATTGCACCCAAGGATGAACCAGACTTGTGCAAGTCCACAATTCTCTTCCTGACATGTTCGCTGATTTCTTTTGACTTTCCCATGATGTTACACAAGGAAGCAGTGTGTTTCAGGTGTTCCTTAAATTAAATCCACAGGTGTGTCTCTGAGTAACTCAGATGTTATCAATAAATCTATGAGAAGCTCCAAAGACATATCATCAAATTCTTTAAAGGAATAGTAATTTTACTGTATTTAAACTTTCACTCTCATTATTCTGACATTTTGCAAATAGAAAACATTTTGGTAATCCTAACACAGGAAAAGTTTATTCTGATTTCACATCAGACAGTGTGGGGGAAAAAAATGCACGCGTCTTTTTAAATAGTGTATGTAAACTTCTTGTTTCAACTGCATTTATATAATTAATTTTTATTTTTTAAGGGGATGTTTTGAGGGAAAGTGGGTGTGTTGAAAAAAGTGTGCAGACAACTAAAAAAGCATTAATAAAAAACAACTTGGTGTGTTTTTAATTTGTAAAATATGCCTGTTTTACCAAGACTTTGAATATTTGAACATCGTTGCCCATTTTTAATACTGCAGTAGATTACAGATAAGATGTTAAATGATCAACAGAACCCCCTTCAAAAGATCTGAGTTTTAAGGTTGTCCTGTCTCCGTTGTTTAATGTAGAACTGTTTTTTTTTTTTTTTACAGATGTGTTCTGAAGATGGACCACCACTGTCGTATCCTTCCATAAGCAACACAAACAGGACGATACATAAAGATGTTTAGTTTACTCTGGTGCCTTTTTCTGTGTGTTTGACTGAACATATGTCCAGCCTGGCTGAACAACTGTGTGGGTCACTTCAACCACCGCTACTTCTTCTCTTTTTGCCTCTACATGACATTAGGCTGCATCTACTGCAGCATCAGCAGCTGGGACATGTTTCTGGAGGCATACAGCACTGTAGAGGTGAGGCTGCCACTCGCCTGAATGAGTGAGGTTCTTTATTGTCTGGTGGTTCAGAGCACCTTTGATTAAATATTATCAACAGCAACACCAGTCAGATAGAGGTAGGAAGGCAGAATTTGATCTCACATGGCAAACACAGAGAAACAGGAGACCTGAAAATGATCCTCAATTATATCTACAGGTCCTTCTCAAAAAATTAGCATATTGTGATAAAGGTCATTATTTTCCATAATGTAATGATAAAAATTAAACTTTCATATATTTCAGATTCATTGCACACCAACTGAAATATTTCAGGTCTTTAATTGTTTTAATACTGATGATTATGGCATACAGCTCATGAAAACCCAAAATGCCTGTCCCAAAAAATTAGCATATCATGAAAAGGTTCTCTAAACAAGCTATTAACCTAACCATCTGAATCAACCATGTAACTCTAAACACCTGCAAAAGATTCCTGAGGCTTTTAAAAACTCCCAGCCTTGTTCATTACTCAAAACCACAATCATGGGTAAGACTGCCGACCTGACTGCTGTCCAGAAGGCCATCATTGACACCCTCAAGCAAGAGGGTAAGACACAGAAAGAAATTGCTGAACAAATAGGCTGTTCCCAGAGTGCTGTATCAAGGCACCTCAGTGGGAAGTCTGTGGGAAGGGAAAAGTGTGGCAGAAAACGCTGTACAACAAGAAGAGGTGACCGGACCCTGAGGAGGATTGTGGAGAAGGGCCGATT